TGTCTTTTCTGCTATTTTTATTAGAATTCATTATTTTCACTTTATCCAATTAGCGTCCTGTTTACCAATGCCTCCTCCTTACACTTACGGTTTCGTCTGAAAGCTCAGGGAGACGTCCCCTCACTGGATGCCTCCTCCCTCATTACTGCCAAATAATTAGTCAAGGAGCATCCCTGATCAAAAATCAAGAACCCAGAAGCAAGTTGAGGCTTGCCTTCCTCCGAAAGAAAAAAAACCCGCCTCCCCCCCCAAGAGATGCCTAATTACGGGATTTTGTTGGTGGTCAGGGCCATCGGGGGAAGCGGGAAGCGGAGAATGCCCAGGAAGAGGGAGTGGGCAGTTCAGATCCTCGATTTACATCCCAATGCCTAGCAGCCCTGGCTCAGCTCCCTAACGCCCCTAACTCCCCCTAACTCGCACTGGGCGCTGACGCCACATTTGCATAGTGCAGGTGCTACAGCCTGCAGCCTGGGGAAGCACCTGATCGGTCTGTCTGTGTACTTAACTGTGCGCCCTGTGCATGGGGGGGGGGGGGGCAGCCTTCCGTCCTGACGGCTGCCACCTTCTCTGCAAAGGGACACCTGTCCCACGGTCGGCAGCCCACACTCCTCACGCCGCTCTACCCCTTGTCACTTCACAGGATGGCGGGACCCGCGCCAGGACCGCCCTGCCCTCCCCGCCCCCCACCGGCCCCGCCAGAGTGAGCACTGCCCAGGTGAGCCTGCAGAAGTGACAATCTGCATCTTGTTCATGTGGTGCAGACCAATGGAGGAAACGGAACCCAGGAAGTCCCCTCTAAAATCCCAGGAAACGGGGCAGGAGGGGACATCCTCCCTGCCCATTTTAAAGGACCTGGTGCAACCCTCCCTCCCCCAGGGAGAAGCCACCTGCCCAATTAGCCAGAGGCTTCCCCAGATGCCCATCCCCTCCCCCGGGCCTGGCACCTTGGAGCAGCAGGTGAGCAATTAGAGCCCCCTGCCCCCTCCCCACAGGCATCCAGGGCCACGGGGAGTGATTCACCAGCTGGCGCTGGGCAGAACTTCCTACGTGCAGCCACTCTGAGCAGGATCACAAAGGAGAGAGGCCCCTGGGTGCGCAGGGTTCCCAGCCTGGCCCTGGGCGCTTGGGCCCCAGCACTCTGGCCGGTGGAAGGACCGGATGGGCAACTCCCGGGTGTTCCGTGCCTGCCTGGTGGGGCCAGGGGAGGCTGGACCAGCCTTCCCTGGGGAATCCCAGGTGAGTTTCCCTGGGCGGCTCACAGGAGGGAAAGGCTAGGGCCTCCCTAGAGAGGCAGGGAGGCAGGCGGGCCTGCACCTCCCATACAGATGAACAGCCCGGGAACTGGCCCAGATCTGGACTGCCTGCTCGTGCTCAGCAACCCCCCCCCCCCCGCAGCCAGGCATGTGCAGCCACACTCTGATTTGAGACTTCTGGCCCCCCAGACCCAGAGAGAGTAAGTTTGTGTTGTTGAAGCCGCCCACTCTCTGTACTTTGCTAGGGGCCCCGGAAAACCAAGACAGCTCCCAGACTACTTAAGACGCAAATCTGTGACTGGAGGTGCTTCTTTACGCATGAAGTGACAAGGTCCCACAGCGGGGCTCCTAACTCCCCATTCCAACCTGGTGACAAGCACAAAGTTTGAGATTTCTACAGCAACTGTTAGGCATGATGAAAACGCCGGTGATTCCTCCCGCAGAAAAAGGCACGGGCACCACTCAAATAGCGGCTTGCCGCCACGTCCACAATCGGGCAGAATGTTGAAATTCATGTCGCAGAAGCGATACAAAGAAAGATGCCGTCTTCCCCACTGGATGTTACAGCAGCCCTGCATTCTGGTTTGGGTGGGGGGTGGGGCACCGCACGCGGTGCTGGTCACAGAGCCCTGGGGTCCAGCCCTGGCTGTGCTCTCTGCACTGGAGCCCCCACTCCCCCTCTCTGCTGTTCGTCACCGCGGGCAAGCGTGCAAGTCGTCGACCCCTCCACCTGCCCTCTGTGAGTGAGTACCGTGAGCACCCGCTCTGTGGGCTGTTGTGAGGTTTGCAGGGGGAAATATACAGAGCATTCAACTCACTCCCAGCTTGAGCCACCACGGGCGAGATGTTAGCTGTTATCAGAGGTGCTCACCCAAAGCTTGTGTGGCTGAGGGGCTTTTTGTTGTTGTTTTTTTTGTTTTTTCCTCTTTGGGTGTCTGGTTTAGGGCAGTAGGTCTCGGTAAAGAAAGCACTATTGATAAGCAAATGTCAGCTCTGCCAAGGAACCCTGGCCAGAGTGAGCAGAGGTGGTAGGGGGGTGGGGAGCTGGGAGACAGGGGGTGAGGGAGGCAGGGGAGTCACATGGAGAGTTTATAACCACTCGCGCTCGTCTCTTGGAACGACTTTGCTATGACTTGTCTCTAACTTGAACCCCAATGAGCAGAGAGAACTTTTCTAGAAACCAGATCCATTTTCCTCTACACAAGACACAAGGAAAGGACTTTCCATGCTTCCCATGCAGCTTACGTATGAAGGCAACCTGTCAAAGAGATGTGGTTGTGTGTTTCGGTCACACACAGGTGCCTGCTGCTACTTACAGATGTGTTCTCTGCGTTTGTTAAAGAAATCTGAGCTGGACCTGGACACACTCAGCAGGGGTGGACGGCGAGGGGGAGGGGGAGGGGGACCCGGTCCATGATAAAGCCGTTCCTGCCTAGAGAGAAGACCCCTAGGGCGGCGAGGAAACTGCCATCTGCTGCTTTCCCCCTTTCTCGCTCTATGAAGGTAAGTCATCAGAAATTGACACATTTTAAAATACTGACTCAGCACTCCCGTGGAAATGCCCAAATTGGGAAAAAAAAAAAAAAGGTATATGCTCCCCTTTCATGGGGGCCGGAGAGAAGAAATGCACTTGGAAAATATTTCTGCTTTTCCAGCAAACCCGAGGTACACCATGTGAGCAACGTCTTTCTTCCCATTATTTTATTTTATTTTTTATTTTATTTTATTTTACTTTAGCAATGATACTTTCATACAAGTATCAAGAGGATAAATTCCTCTCGAAACCGTCTCCCATGTGGATAAACGTGCCACTTCCACCTACTCACCAGTGAGATGAGTTAGTTCCCTTTGGGGTATCAGAACACTGGGGTGAATGTCGGCCTCCCTCCCTGAGTCTGCGGGCTCTCCACCTCCATTTCAGCCACGTCTTTTGCATGTGTTCAAAGTTATAAATCCATTCCCAGATGTGGGTGGGGCATACTCTATAAATAAATCCTGAACTGAGGCATCCTCGCTGCAGTGCCCCTGACTGGGGCCATCAGCCTCCGCCCAAGCCCCAGGCAGATTCCTGCCTCGATGCCAGCCACTCCATTCCCTCCCAGGGGAGACCTTCTGGCCACCCCGGAGCTGCCCCCACGGCCCGGCTCCTGGCTCTCTCAACTCGGCAGCAGCACCTGGAATCAACGGCCATCACTTTTGGGCCACTTGGTGGAAGCTAGGCATTGCCTTCTAAGTGGAGGAGAGGGGATTCGAACCCCAGCATTCTGACCTCCACCTCTTCCTGCTTAATCTCTGTATCAGACTGGCCTTCCCAGGGGCTACCCTTCAGAATTTGGACAGACGGCCCCATTCCCCGTGGCCTTCACTAGAAGGACAGCGAGTAGGGTGGACAATCCACTAGTGCCAGCTGCCAGGCCAGCTCACCTGCGGCGGCCCCAGCCGACACACGCCTGAGCAGTCATAGCTCTGCAGCTTCTTATTTTTAAAATTACATGCACAATCCATACGTTTGTATGTTGCAAAATCTCAAATATCCTGCCTTTTTGTTCTCAGTGTGATGCCTTTTTATCTTTAATGGGTAAATCAAAAGATAGGAGGCTGGACCTAACAGTAAACACCAGTCGGGTAATGCGATATTTCCGTTAAATCGTTTTCTTCCAAAGCTAATTATTAAGGCTATACAACTAAACAGCAGCAATCAGAGCAAACAAAGCCAAACCATTGTGCTCACGGTCCCCAAATGTCCAGTCATTTAATGAACAGACATAGTCCGTTTGGACCGATTGACCTCCGGTCAGAAGTGAACCATGCACCGTCTCCCTGGTCCCTTGCTGGTTGACAATGGTCTACCTGTCACCCATCTATTTAGGTAGCCATGTGCACACTTTCTGCGTATCCGCTTGGGACCAGACAAAAATACAAGCTGAGTAAGAAGGTAATAATAGCTCCCTCCCTCCAAAGGCTAAAAGGACAGTGGCTGCAAGAGAAGGACGGTAGGGAGATGGGGCGCCAGGACGGGGGAGCTGTTTCCCCAGGGTGGGCCAGGGGCCTGACTCTGCTCCTCCTGAATCACGCTTAGAAGGCAGGCCAGGCACCCCTGGCCAGCTCGGAGCCACCTGGAGATGTCCCTCTGGAGCCCTAGCTCTTTAGTAACTGACTCCATGGATATGGCTTGGTGGTCACGCCCAGTTCCGGGTCCAGGGGAGCACTGGGCCTCGCTTAGCCTCGGACGTGGGGGGTAACGTGGCCGGCTTTGTGGCCCTCTTGGGTGCAGAGGGAGTGGGCACGGGCGGGGTGGAGCTTGTCAGCCACAGGGACATTCATGGGTCACCGGCTTCCATCAGCACCTGCACTCCCAGCCGGTCTCTTCCCCATCACCTTCAGACCTCCCCTCAGAAGCTGGGGTGGAGGGGTCAGCTGGAGCTAGGCCCTCCGGGACCCCCAGCGAGGCTGCTCCTGGCACTGACTGAACACCGACCTGTCCCAGACGCGCTGCTGGCAGGAACCCCTCCCCCCCCATCCATCTCCTCGTGGGCTGAACTCAAGCAGCTCCCTGCCACCCGCGCGGCGTCCCAGGGGCCGGAGGGACTCCGGAGGGATGCCCCACGTCACCCTCCCTCACAGCTCCTGCACGCTCGCCGCTTCCTCGCAGCCCCTAGCGTGGGAGCCCCGGGGCCCCCAGCCCTGCACTCCGGCCCCCGCAGGCCGCGCCCAGGCCCCCGCGCGCCGGCTCGCGGCGCTTCCTACCTGGTGCAGTCGGAGCCGCGGGGCATCGACGCCGGAGCCGGCCCGGCGCTGGCCCGGTAGCGGGTGCACGGCGGGCACGGGCTGCCCAGGCGGGTTATATGGGCGCGCGGAGGGGAGGCGCCGCGGGCAGGGGCGGCCGCGGAAGTTAGCGCCTGGCGCCGCCGGCCGGGCGGGAAGGCAGCGCGGGCCGCTCAGCGCGGCGGGAGGAGCGCGGGCGGCGGGGCCGGGCCGAGGCCAAGGGGGCCGCCGGCGCCCCGCCCCCCCAGCTGGCCGCGTGCGAGTCGGGGTCCCGGGCGCGCTCTGCCCCGCCTCCTTCCCGCCGCCTTTTGGCGCGCGTCGCCCCTGCGGAGCCTGCTGCGCCGCCTACCCCCGGTTGGACGCGGGCCGGGCGCCGGGGCTCTCCCGCCGGGAGCCGGGGACCGCGACCCTCGGCCAGCTTGGGGCCGCGGGCGAGGGCGCGCGGGAGCGAGGGCGGGCAGACAAGCCGACTCCGCGTCCCGACGCCTTGCTTCCCCGCTAGACGCCGCATTTCCCCGACACCCGGGGCTGCCTTCCCGCCCCCACCGGCGCCGGGCCCCTCCGTGCGCGAGGCGCTCAGACTCCCGGGAGCCGGGGACGAGCCGTCCCGAGTGTCCGCCCTCGCTGTCGGGAGCAGGGGCGAGGGGCGCGGTCCCTGGGCGAGGGGATTGGGTGGGGCCGTTGCGCCCGGGGGGCTCCGGCGTTACTCCGAGGAGGGCGCGCCAACTATACTGACACCGAGCCCAGGTCATGGCCGCTCCCCGGCCCCGCTCGGCGTTGCGGATCCGCGGGGACCCTCTGGGAGTGACTCACTGGCCCCAGCCCGTACCCATCCTGGGCGGAGGGTGCGTCCCTGGGCCCCTAGGGAGTAACTGGTGACGCAAACACTTCCAGGTCGCGCGCGCACCCTGCTGCCTCCTCCCCAGGCCGCCGCCTCCTGCCCCCCAGCTCTGGTTTCTCTTCTCCGCTGGCTCAGGTGCGCGTGGGCGCCCACGGCCACACGTGGGTCGTGCACTCGGAATTGCTCTCTACGCTCAGAGACCCGCCTCGGGCCGGGTCTTCGGTCGGACCGGGGTCACCCACGGCTGCACGGGCCTGGGCCCACGCCGGGCGGGTCCTCGGCCCGAGAACCCGACCCGCAGGACGCGTTTGGAGGGGCTCTCGCGGCCTGCACCCGCCGTGAGCCGCCTCCCGGTGCTCGCGGGGCCCTCGCGTCAGCGTCGCCTGTGGAACTGCGTACCCGCCGGGCTGGTGCAACCGGGCTCTCTGGCCGCGCCTGGTTCACTCCCACACACCTTTGCAGCTCACCCACTGGTTTGGAGACGCGGGAGGTGGAGACACGAAGACGGACGGAGCTGGCCCGGGACAGGAAAGCCCGGCACCTGCCCGTCTGTTCCCACGTGGGGGGCGTCGGGAGGCTGCAGGCCGGGGGGCTGTGAGCACAGAGGGTGGGGAGGACCCAGGCCGGCGCTGGGGGCTCAGAAGGAGGGGCGAGCGTGAGCGTCCGGGTCCGCGCCACCAGGCCGGCTGCGGAGGCGCTGCCCGGGCGGGGCCGGGGCTTGGGGCGAGCCTCCTTCGGGGGAAGGGGACCAGGCGCTCGAGGGGGCGCCAGCCGGGGGCGCAGAGCGGGCGCTGACCCGGGAGCGCCGTCCTGCGTGGGGAGCCCCGGTCGCGCCCCTGCGCTGCCCTCCTCCTCCTCGCGGTGCAAACGGCGTCAGCGCCGGTCCTTCTCCCCAGATCTGGGGGTGCCTCGGGGGGCGCGGGGGCTCCCTGTCCGCAGGGCTGCCCGATTCAGCCCCAAACCCCCAAACAAAACAGAAACCAAAAAACACATGAGAAACGAATACGTTCTTATTCACCATGTGTAACAAACAACGTGTGTATACACACTGCTGCATACTCACCTGCAAACGCGTAGGTGTATGTAAATATAGCTACATCTAAGCGAACTTGCGCCTAAGTGTAAATACTGGTATACGAAGGTAAGTACGTGCACAGGACGCCCGTTTACATTTGAAGTTTAGATAAGCGGGTACTTTTCTGGTATAAGTTTGTCCCATTCAGTATTTGAGACCATTTACCCACAAAAATGATTCGTTGTTTGCCTGAAATTCAATTTGAGCGCGCGTCGCGCGCTTTCTTGGGCAACCCTAGCTGGGAGCGGCGGATCGCCCGGGTGGCTGGAGGCGCGGCTGCGCGGGAACGCGCGAACTACAAGCCCCACAAGGCCGCGCGGGCACCCGGGGCCCTGATAGGCTGTGAGGGGCTTCCGCCCTGCGTCACTTCCGGCCGCGGGGTTGGCGGTTGTCGCAGCCCCGGCGGGACTGAGGCTCCCGGGGCCGGGAGTCGGCGGCCGCCATGAACTTCTCCGAGGTGTTCAAGCTCTCCGGCCTGCTGTGCAAGTTCTCCCCGGACGGCAAGTACCTGGTGAGCGGCCGCGGGGCCCGCGGGAAGGCTGCTTGGGGGTCCGCGGGTGCGGGCCTCTCGCGGGGGCCCCGGGGTGACAGCCGAGGCAGGCGCCCCGCAGCAGGGGACCCAGGGCACGTGACCCGGCGCGGACACCCGGGGCTGGGGGCTCGGGCGGGATGTCCAAGCCGGGGCCCCGGGAGGACGGGGCCTGGACAGGTGCCAGCCACCCCACAGCCCAGTTTGCACCTGCCAGAGGTGGGTAATGGCAGTGCTGTCCCCGTCTGAGGATGCAGGGCATGTCAGCTCGTTGTTGTTACTTTGGCACAAAAAGGGACGTGTGTGGCTCTGCTGGCTGTAACCTGGTGCGGAGGTGCAGCCACCTTGCCTTTCCCAGCCCCTCCCCCGCCATGGCAAAGAAGCGATTGAAATAACTAGCAATCTCTGCCCAGATGAGCCAAGTTGTCCGCACTGCTGTTTATTCTGGCGATTAGGGTTTGAGCTGTTCATCACCCGGGCGACAGAATGGGGCTGAAATCACCGAGCCACTCTGCACAGGGAACAGCAGCATCAGCAGTGTGTCCTCGGAATCCGGGTGCGGGAGGCGGTGTAATGGCATTGGAAGTCCATTAAGAAAGAGATCATGCCTTATGAAACGTGTATCTATTTATTTCTATACATTTAAAAAAATTTAATGTTTATTTTTATATTTGGGAGAGAGAGAGACATAGTGTGAGTGGGGTAAGGGCAATGAGAGAGGGAGACACAGAAGCTAGGCTCCAGGCTCTGAGCTCGAACTCAGGAACTGAGATCGTGACCGGAGCCGAAGTCGAATGCTTCACCGACTGAGCCCCCCAGGAGTCCCTATTGAGTTCTGTATATTAACTGAGTGATGCTTCATGATTCTTTTTTCAGTTTGAACCTCATTAACACTCCTGTTGTCTCGCGCTTTGAAAATATAACTCCTTTGTGGAGGTTATTATTCTAAATCCATAAATTAGCATTTGGCTAAAAAAAAAATGCATAACGTCTTCAGCTTAAAGTTCACCCCCAGAAACCTTGGTATATTTTTCGAAGTGGTCCTCCCTATAAATTACTTTTTAAAAAATCATTTATGAAAATTCCAGCGAATTATAAAGTGAACTGTGTTTTCTTCTGGTGTTCTTTTGGCTTCTCCACCCTGGTGGAGTCATGTTCTTCGAAGCTCTATCCTAAATCCTGCAGAAAGTAGGTCTGTGTTGCCATTTTTAATATCTTGCAACAGATCTGATAATGGTTTTTCCAAGTGGTGACACAGATACTCCATTTCTTAAGGAACTCATTGTAACTGGTGACAGCTACAGCGTGACACATTCTCATCTGCAGTTACCTCCCCTTCTTTTTACAAGGAAAACTCAGGAGCCGTGTTTTTTAAACTGTATTTATTTTTTAGAGTGAGAGTGTGTGAGTGGGGGAGGGGCAGAGAGGCGGGAAAGAGAGTGAATCCCTAGCAGGCTCCTCCCCAGCATCGGCCCCAACTCCCAGAACTCACACTCACTCAGGCGCCCCAGGTGGTTTTTAAATGGAAGTTCTAAAACACAGACCAATAAATGAGCTTGATCTTGATAAGTGTAGGAACAAAGCAATTAACATTTAAAAATCAGTTCTTGGGACGCTGGGGGTGGGGGTTAAGCGTCCTACTTTGGTTCAGGTCCTGATCTCATGGTTTGATGGGTTCGAGCTCTGCGTCAGGCTCTGTGCTCACAGTCAGAGCCTGGAGACTGCTTTGGATTCTGTGTCTCCTTTTCTGCCCCTCCCCCGCTCATGTTCTGTCTCTCTCTCAAAAATAAATAAACATTAAAAAATTTCTTTTTTAAATCAGTTCTTGATTTTTAAACTCTAATATACTCTACAATCAGCAGATAAGTATACCCAAATAATCTGCTTAGATATGGATATTGTTAACAAACATGGACATAAACTGTCCCTTCAAGAAAACAGCATTAGCACTTAAACATCTTCCCAGTCAGTACTCAGAATAAGTTCCTGCAGGTGGAAGAGAAACCTGCCTGCGTCCCCGCCCATGTCGGGAAAGCGTCACCCTCATACTGCACGTCTCCTTTGCTGTCACACTGCCGCTGTGACACTTGCAGCACTGCTGACACTTGCTGTCACATTTGCCAGTGGCGGGGGGTGTGTCACACCACGCGGGCCTCCAGGACACCAGCGGGGAGCCACTGAACTCAACTGAAAACTGGGGGTCTCCAAGTGGACTGCCCACCCATTTCATTGTTTTTTTTTTTTTTAATTTTTAAGTGTTTTTTTTTTCTTAATTAATTTATGTGTGTGTGTGAGAGAGAGGGAGACAGCGCAAGCAGGGGAGGGTCAGAGAGAGAGGGAGTCACGGACTGAAACAGGCTCCAGGCTCTGAGCTGTCAGCACAGAGCCCAACGTGGGGCTCGAACCCACGAACCGCGAGATCATGACCTGAGCCGAAGCCGGACGCTTAACCGACAGAACCACCCAGGTGCCCCTCATTTCATTTTTTAAAATGTTTATTAATTTTTTAAAAAAAATTTTGAGAGAGAGAGCAGGGGAGAGGGGGGCAGAGGATCTGGAGAGGGCTCTGTGCTGACAGCAGTGAACCCGGTGTGGGGCTGGATCTCCTGAACCATGAGATCTTGGTGTGAGCCAAAGTCGGACGCTTCACTGGCTGAGCCCCCTGGGCGCTGCTGTGCCCCCCACTTCGATGCCAGCCGCAGCAGCAGGTCCACAGGCTCCCCGCAGCCTCTGTCTGCCTGGGCCACAAATCAGGGGCTCCCACAGCCCCCTCCTCGGGTTCCACTGATCGGCCAGAGTGGCTACAGAACTCAGAAGCCCTTGTGTTTGCCAGGGAGCTAAAGGCGGTGAGGGAGGGGCCAGGGGAGGAGGTCCGGAGTCCAGGAGCCTCTGTCCCCGTGGGGGTGGGTGAGTCACCTTCCCTGGGAGCCTGTGCTCCCCGCCTGGAGCTCTCTGAATGCCGCCCTGTTGGCATCTCACAGAGGATTCCTTGTGGGGAGTGATTAAGTCCATGTCTAGCCCCTCTCCCCTCTCTGGAGAAGGGGGGTGGGACCGAACATTCCAAGCTTCTAATCACAGCTGCTATTTCTGGGGACCAGGAGCCCACCTAGAGTTGCCCCGTTGGAACTAAAGCTGCTTCTCTCACCCTGGGCGTTTCAAGGGCTCCAGGAGTCCTGTGCCAGGGCCCGGGGGCCGAGACGGGTATGTCCTTTCTGTTCCTCGTCCTTACGGCCCTGCGGTCCTCCTCACCAAGGACCTGAGGCCCCATCCTCGCTCCCTGTGGCTGGTCTGCCGGAGGTTAAAGCCGCAGCGCTGGGTTAGTTCACAGAAGAGCTGGGCGTGAGTAAGAAAGGAGTTCAGGGTGACCGAGTGCAGAGTTGTAGCAGCGCGCTTTCTCCTGGAGCGATGTTAACACATAGTTTGTGCATTTCCGCCGTGTCGTTCCATGAACTCTTACCCTTGGAGAGGGTGACACAGCCAGTGGGCGTGAGGCCGCCCAGGCAGAAAACAGCCGGAAGGACAGGGAGCTAGAGCACGTCCGTAAGGACGGAGGGAGATAGAATTCCTGGACGGACGAGGGCGCCGACCCCCGGGCTCCCTTCCCTTAGACGGTAGAGCATCAAGGTCTGTCTTTTCTGGTTTTAGGCTTCTTGTGTCCAGTACCGGTTGGTGGTCCGGGATGTGACCACCCTCCAGGTCCTTCACCTGTACACGTGCCTGGACCAGATCCAACACATCGAGTGGTCGGCGGACTCCCTCTTCATCCTGTGCGCCATGTACAAGCGGGGGCTGGTCCAGGTGCGCGGCCCGCGGGGCTCGGGACCTGATGGTGACCTGGGTGGAGTGAGCATCTTCTGTGCCCTTGTAGTTTGAGAAAAAAGGCAACGCAGCTCACAGCCAGTTTCCTCTTAAAAATACAGCTGTTCCCAGTAGCTTAAGTGCTTTGAAAACAAGGAAACACTTAAATAGCCTTAATGTGTCATCGAGGGTAATTCAGTAACAGGAAGTGTCCGCACAGCTGGCTAGTGACCTGGGCGTCAGGGGTTTGGGGAAGCACGAAGAGGTGGTGTTAACAGGTGTAGACTTTCCCCCAAGGAGCTTTGAGGGCTGCAGAGGGGAGGGACTTCAGTCAGCGCCGCGGTCGGCTCCAGCCCTCGCTGGTGACGACGTGGAAGGGCACCGTGCGTCCTGACCGTGCGCCGTGGATGCCCGGCTGCCTTCCGGCGGGACGTGCATGCACTGACCTGTCGTGTGCGTCTCTCTCCGCCGCGCCTCCAGGTGTGGTCTCTGGAACAGCCCGAGTGGCACTGCCGGATCGACGAGGGCTCGGCCGGGCTGGTGGCCTCCTGCTGGAGCCCGGACGGCCGCCACGTTCTCAACACGACCGAGTTCCACGTAAGTGCGACGGCCCGCGCGTGTGCCCGTCAGGGGAGGGTGGCTCCGCTGCCCTTTCTCCGGGGATCGCCGCTGAGCGGTGAAGTGGGCGGATTTTGGGGGACGAGGTGTATCTTTCAGGTATATACACACACATGTATGTTTCTCGAAAGATGTGTATCTTAAGTCGGCCAAGCGTTCTAAGCCTGTAGTGTTGTTATATGATCTTTTTGCCCGAATTTAAAGAAAAATTAAAGCAAGTTTTAAATGACAGGATTTAAGAATGAAAGAGTTCCTTTACCCCAGCGGTCGATGAATTCAATGTGATCAACTTTACGTCTTTAAGATGCCTGCCCTGTGCCCTGACCACTGCTCTGTCCTGTTCCCTCACGGCCCCTCCGGGCCGCCAGCACTGCTGGGCTCCACACGCCCCAGACGTGGAGATGGGTCCGGGGAGCCCGAGCGCCTCGTAAATACACAGTTAGGGAACAGGGCAGGTACACGCAGCAGGTGTGGGGGTAGAAGGGCTTCAGTGTCGGTGTTGTTTTGAAGTATAGAAAAATGCACAAATCCCTTTAATGATGTGCCTTTTGAGGGGGCATCACAACCCAGGGTGTGGGCCCGAGCCCCCTGGGGGGCTGCCAGGTGCCCGCAGGAGCCCCCCCATAGGCCCCGCGGGCCACAGACCCGCGGAGGGGACCGCGCGTGCGTGTGGTGAGGGCGTGCGTGCCCAGCCGTGAGGGTGCGGAGTGACCCTGTGGGATGTCAGCCAGTATCTGCTGTTTTTCACATTGGCGTCGTCTGGGACAAGGTGTGTGTCCCTTACCCCAGGACACAGCGGTGGCTGAATTACTGCCTCAGAACGTCTGTGGCTTCGTGTACCTTCCGTTTCAGCGTAAAACCTGCTGTAAATCTGGTGTGTGCTGCACCGGCGGTTGGAGACTGAGCGGACGCAAAGGGCGCTTGGCTTCCTTGCAGTGCGCACGTTGACTTTTCATTAATTCATTCATTCCTTTTTAATTTGAGAGAGCGCAGAGGGAGGGGGAGGGGGGGAGAGAGAGAGACAGAGAGACAGAGAGAGAATCTTAACCAGCCTCCATGCACAGTGCAGAGCCCAATGAGAGGCTCAGCCTCACGTGAGATATGACCTGGGCTGAAATGCAGTCAGACATTTAATGGATGGAGCCACCCAGTGCCCCACACATTGGCCTTTTAAGGATGTTTACAACTTGGAAGTTTTCAGACATGTTGAACTGATTATACAGCCTTACCTAACAGTCTTCATGATTAGAATTCTTAGGGCCAGCGTCCAGAATCCAGCGTCCAGATGGGCATGTGCCTGGGGCTCCCTGCCTCCTGTACACAGACGTGACAAGGGAACCACAGGCCCTTTGCACAGGGTTCCCTGAGTGTAATAAGGGAAGCCCTGTGTGCCCGCCCTGGGCCTGGAGCAGGGCCGCCTGTGTGCCCCACGGAGGCGGGACAGACCCTGCGTTCTATGATCATTAGTTCTTGCTCTTCTTCGGGTTTTGTGTGTGTGTGTGTGTGTGTGCGCGCACACACACACACACACACACACAAGCGTATACACTGTTGTTTGGTTTGCATTTGTTTCAAGTTTGACACGAATCCATACTCTGTACATTCCGGGTTCTCTTCCCCCGACGTTCTTTCCATTCATCCGCGTAGAAGGTGTGGCTCGTTCTGCCGTTCCTCGTGGGGAGGGCACCCCACACGCGTCTGCCCTTCTGCTGCTGGGCCTTCAAGGCCGTAGGGGCCACGTTGCCGGGAGTATATTGTATGTGACCTGTACCCTGCCGGGGTAGCCTGGGGGGCTGCCTGGTTATAGTGCGGCATTCAACCTTCCAAAGCTTTTCATCCAGATTTAAATTGACTGCCAGTCCAGGGGCGCCGGGGGGCTCAGTCGGTTGAGTGTCCAGCTTTGCTCAGGACATGATCTCATGGTTCATGGGTTTGAGCCCCACGTCGGGCTCTGTGCTGACAGCTCAGAGCCTGGAGCTGCTTCGGATTCTGTGTCTCCCTCCCTGCCCTCCCCTGCTCACGTGCGCATGTGCTCTCTCACTCGCGCGCTCTCTCTCTCTCTCTCTCTCAAAAATAAATAAGTAGAAACAAACTGCCCGCCAGGCCTGCGGAGCTACTGCACTGCGGCGAACTCTCCACGCTGACTGTCTGGGGCTGTGTGCTTTCGTGCCGGGTCTCACACACACTCTCTCTCGCACACGCGGTTACTGTGCTCAGGGTGCACGTGGACTGTGTGGTGTGAGGAAGGGGTCCCAGTTCATCTTTTTCCCAGTGACACTTAGCAAGAACTGAACTTAACACAGACACTCCCGGCGCTTCCTGCCCTCGCACTGTGGGCGCACGGACGTGCCTGCGCTTCACCGCTCGTCCCCGCGGCGCTGAGCGTGTCGGTGGCCGTGGGGCTGCTCCCTCTCCATCACCCTGTGCTGTCCGTGAGTCCAGTGTGCTCGGGAGGCACCATTGCCAGCCGGCTCGGAGCAGGGAGGTATTTCCATGGTGGGCGGGAGCTTGATGGTGAGTCACGGTTCGAGTCGCTCACAAGCCCGTTCTGTCAGCTGTTGGCACAGCACTTTCCACCCTTCCGTGTCCTTAAATGTCAGTGTCTGTGCTGCAAACAGCCTGGAGCTGCCTCGAAAAAAGAAACGGAAGAACTTTTTCTTACGTATCCACAAAACCAGTTAAAACCACTGACGAGCACCATTCACCCCTTGAAGCGTGCAGCTCGGCCACACCGCTGGTTCCTGATGGCCACTGCCTGCTTTCTGTCCACGTTCTCCGGCAGCGGCGCCACGTGGTGGGGGGGGTTCTCTTTGGCTTCTGTCGCTCAGCACTGTGCTGTCATGGAGGGTATCAGTCGGCGGTCCCTCGTGGCCGGGCACCGTTCCGTTGCACGGGGACACGGCATTTGCTTTGCACCCGCCATTCGGCAGGTCGGGGGCGCCTTCCCGGGGCACCTTCCCGGGGGCGCTGTCAGGAACAAGCTGCTTCAAATGCGCCCGTGCAAGCCCGTCTGTGTAAATCCCTAGGAGTGGGAGAGCCAGGGAGGCGCGTGCGGAACATGCAGGAAGCTGCGTCTGCTTCCTCCCGTGGCTGTCTCCCCCCCCCCTCGACCCTGGGTTAGGGCTCAGGTGTCCACGTTCTCACAACACTCAACGTGCATCGGTAGTTTTCTTCTGTAGCTGACGTGTTGTGTCTCCCTGCGGTTTTTTCGTTTTGTTTTTAGGTTTATTTATTTTGAGAAAGAGAGACATGGCGTGAGTGGGGAAGAGGTGGAGAGAGAGGGAGAGAGAGAGAATCCAAGCAGGCTCCTCCCCATCAGGACAGAGCCCAACACGGGGCTTGATCTCACAAACCGTGAGATGATGATCTGAGCTGAAGTCGACGCTCAGCCGCCTGAGCTTCCCAGGCGCCCCTCCCTGTGGTTCTGGTTTGCACTTTCCTGGGGACTAATGACGTTAAACTGTCACATGCCCATTATCGTAGGACTGTTATTCATATGCCCTGTGCATGTCTTTACTAGGTAGTCACGTCACTCAGTTGTAAAGTTTCTTTTAATGTTTTCTGGATACAAGTCCTTTGTTGGAAGCGTGTCTGCTAACAGTCTATGACTTGCTCTCCGTTTGTTAGGAGCTTCTTTTAAAGGGCAGAAGTGTTTCCTTTTGCTGGAGTCTGACGGATCAGGTTTTCTTATGTTTTGTGCATTTGGTATCTAAAATCCCCACCCAACCCGAGAGCAAAAACAGTCTGTTCTGTTTCCTTCTAGAAGTGTTATGGTTTGGGCTCCCACGTGCAGACATAGGACCTAGTTTGAATTTAGACCTTTCCTGCTTGTACTTCTGCGAAAAATCAGTGGCCTGTGTGTGCGGGTCCGTGTCTGGACCGTCCGCTGACCCGTCAGCCCGGCTCTGAGCGCACAGCACGCTCCGTGATCCCTGTACTTCGCGGGGAGTCTGGAAATCGGGTCAGTGTGAGTGTAGCCCTTGTTCTGAGTCAGCTGCTGGACACTCGTCAAGTGGTGAACTTCCACCCCTGCCAACGCGAAGGGCGTGGAGACGGCTTCTAGACACAAACTAGGAGTCACGGTTAAGAGACTCTCGTCATTCCCTTTTAGGCTCTAAGGGGATCCAGGGGGTCGTAGAACCTCGCTATTAGGTGTAAACATCGATGGGGGTTTGGATGCTTGAAAGTTATATGGACGGCTTTTCCTGGGGACGCGTGTCCGTGTCCACCCTGCCAGGCACGTGGGCGGGAAAGGAGGGGACAGTTGGCTGACGCAGCCGTCATCCCCAGAAACCCTGTGCGGAGGCAGTCGTGCAGCAAGCGCCCCCCCCCCCCCCGCCCCCGAGTCTGCTGAGGTTGACCTTGCTCCGTCCTCAGGACACAGGCGTCCTGCACAGCTTTCCTACGAAACCTGTCTCGGACTAAAGGCGTCTGGGGGTTTGTTACAAGGGGGAAACATTGTGACTTTCAAATCTCAAACTAGGATGCGCTTGTGTTCCACTTTGTGTCGCTCACATGATACTGTTACAAGATGGAACCCAAACAGCAGGAGCATGAAAGAAAGGACAGTAGCAAACATCCGGGAGCAACTGCTGTTTTCAGTCCTGCAGGAGACCTCTTCCCCAGGTCTTCTGGAAGCCGCGGTACCCACACCGTTTCTCTCTCCCTTCGCCTCCACAGCTGCGGATAACTGTCTGGTCCCTGTGCACCAAGTCCGTGTCTTACATCAAGTACCCCAAAGCCTGCCAGCAGGGTGAGTCGCCGAAGCTGAGCTGAAAGCTGTTTCTTTGTAGTTTTGTTCAGGGCTGGGCGGCGGGGCCCTTTGTGAGCACAGAAAATGTGGGGCCAAGCAGCCTCAGCAGCGCACGGCTGGGCCTCTGTCTCCACGTCCAGACCCGCTGATGCTCCATGTGAACAGTCTGTGTGTGTCTCTGGGGCGTGAGGCCTCCCGTTTCTAGATGGACTCACGCTGGCGTGAAGGACCTCAGAGCAGGAGCATTTACGTGCGGTCCCTTCCTGTCACAGGACTGGGGATCCCCCCTTCCAGTCCTGAGCTTCAAGCCTCCATACTTCTGTGGGCTCTGTGCAGGGGTGAGGCGGCCGTCCCGCCCAGCCCACCACTGCAGGACCCGATTGGACCGCCGAGAACTAGCGGGGTGCCCATTGCTGAGCCGTGACATGGCAGGGTTGTGCCTTGGGTGCAGTAAGTGGACGAAACCTTACAGAACACGGATGTTTTTAACATTTTTTCTGTTGCCATTAGCAGTTTAGAACTTGAAGGTGTGTGAAATGCGGCTGTGCGTTTATTTTGTCTTTATAACTTGCATGTTAGCGTCCCCGTGGACGACGTGTGCGTTTCCAGAGTGGAAACTAGCACCTCCCGTGTTCTTCTGGCAGTGTGTGCCGTGGCCCAGGGCCTTCCGAGCCACCCAGAACCGGAAACTACAGTTTAACATTTTCGACCAAAGCTTATTTCTAAATCCTTACCTTACTCTTTCTTCTCCCAAGTACCTCAGACATAGAAATAAGAGGCTGGGGCGCCTGGGGGGCTCAGTCGGCTGAGCGTCCGGTCTCGGCTCAGGTCATGATCTTGCCACTCGTAGGTTCAAGCCCCGCGTTGGGCCCTCTGCTGTCGGTGCGGAGCCTGCTTCAGTTCCTGTCTCCCCTCTCTCTCCCCGTCCCCAGCTTGTGCTTTCTTTCTGTCTCAAAAAAAAAAAAAAAAAAAAAAACTTAAAAAAAAAAGTGAAAATAGGTGTAACGGGAAGCTGAGAAACTAGCTGAGTCCCTACGATTGATTTTGTGAAAATGACAACAAGGAGCTGCATCCTCAGTAACACTTTGTGGTTCTTTGGGGTCCAGTCCCTTTGGTTTTCTCTCAGACCCCCTGCCAGTCAGGGGTCGGGGGTGGACCTGGAGCTGCACTGCGGGTCCCGTGGGTGCTCGCTCTCCGCTCCTCTGTGTGGCTGCGGGCGCCTGTCCCTTCCCGTCCCTTCCCGTCCCTTCTCTCTGGAAAGCTGCAGTGCGAGTCCCCCTCCCCCGCAGGGATCACCTTCACCCAGGACGGCCGCTACATGGCGCTGGCGGAGCGGCGGGACTGCCAGGACCACGTGAGCGTCTTCGTCTGCAGCGACTGGCAGCTCCTGCGGGTAGGAGGCGCCCCGCCGTCCCTGGGGTGGGGGGTGGGGGGAACAGAGGGCCGGTCGCTTCAGGGCACGCCCCGGAAAGTGGACCTGCCTGTGTGCGGCAGGGGTGACCCGCCCTCCGTGTGAGCCACGGTCCCCGTCGGTGCCGAGCTGTGTGCATGAGAGGTGCTGTGTCAGGAGCTCTGCTCTGGGCCGGGCTCCCCTCTGCGGGCAGGCTGCGTGCAGAGAGGCCGCGGACTGGCAGTGCCCGTTCTATCAGAGCACAGAGGAGGCCCATCTTCCAGGAGTGAGGCTGAGCCAGGCGGGAAGAGGGAGAGAGAGGGGTGCGGGGGCGGGGGGCACAGCATGAGTCCCGTCGCAGCCCATGGCGCTGGGCCCTGTGCTGCCCGGTGGGCTCCAGCTGCCTGCTGGCCAACCTGGGGCCTCCTCGGTGCTCGGGCAGGAGCTCAGTGACGAAGGACAGGTCTGTAGATAGTGTTACCCATGTCTGTATGAGGAAGTCAAATACTAAGTGCATTCAAACCATCAGTGACAGAATGTGTATTTGTTCAAGTAAACTACTTGCAAATGTAATCTGTTTCTCTGTCTTGCCTTTGGAAGCACTTTGATACGGAGACCCAGGACCTCGCGGGGATCGAGTGGGCCCCAAACGGCTGTGTGCTGGCGGTGTGGGACACCTGCCTGGAGGTACGGGGGGGGGGGACACCTGCCTGCAGGTACACGGGGCCCAGGTCAGCCCTGTGTGTTTGCCTGATGCTTTCTGAATGTGGTGGCTCGGTCAGCTCACCAGGCTCTGATGCTGAGTGGCAGCCCTTTGACCAGCGAGTCCTTACGTTTTCGGCCAAGGTCCCTACTGTCCCCTCCACGGGAGGGCCTGTCCCTCCACTCCCGTTTGCTCCCGACCTCCCGCTGGCCGTCGGCCGTGCCCCCTCCGGCTGGGGTCCGAGCGAGGGTCAGCAGCCGCACCTCCCCTGCAGTACAAGGTCCTGCTCTACTCCTTGGACGGCCGGCTCCTGTCCGCGTACTGCGCCTACGAGTGGTCCCTGGGCGTCAAGTCTGTGGCCTGGAGCCCCAGCAGTCAGTTCCTGGCCGTCGGAAGCTATGACGGGAAGGTGAGGAGCGAGCAGCCCCCGTGGAGGGGCCGAGGGCACAGCGCCGGGGCCTCACGGTGCTCTCTCCCTCAGGTGCGCATTCTTAATCACGTGACCTGGAAAATGATCACAGAGTTTGGACACCCAGCCACCATCAATAATCCCAAAATAGTAAGTCTGGAATGCATGTTTCCATTCGAGCCTCACTGGGGAAGGGAGGTAGAAACACTCATGCTGACGTAGGCACTCACGTCACCAGAAACTTCTGTCACGATGACATTTCAAATGTTAGACTCTACCCCTGGACTCTGCTGTCCTGTCCACAGTTCCCAAAGGATCCAGAGTGGTGCCCTTGCGCCTCCCCACTCCCCAGATGGGTCACTCTCAGGTCTGTTCCTGCCCCCGGCAGAGCCACCAGGGCCCCTGCCCACAAACACCGAGCACCTAGGGCTGGAGAAGTGGACCTGAGAAGTGGGGGGTGGGTATCCTTGGGGCAGGCAGGGACGGGCACTCTGCTGGCAGATCACGGGGTCAGGCGCCAGGAAGAAGTGCTAATGAACCAGGGGTAGGAGTGGCTCAGGCAGCGGGAACAGGTAGTGCAAAGGTTCTGAGGTGGGCATGTGCGTCCTTTCAGCAGGTGTTGTCGGGGCAGGGGTGGGGGACAGCAAGGGACAGAGCTCAGCCTTGGGGAGCTTGCCCACACGTGAGAAAACACGGGGAGGCCGGCCGGAGTGGGGCTGCAGGTAGCCGTGGGGAAGGGAAGGGGGAGACCGCTGGGGAGGCGAGGCTGAGGCGGAGGCCCTGAGGCAGGGCCTGGCTGGAGGCCCGGCTGGAGGTGCGGCTGAGAGAAGCCATGGTTGTGGGAGGCCGAGTCCCAGCAGGCCGACCCCGTGGGCCGCGAAGGGCTTGCTCGGCCCTCCTGGCCTGCAGCCTGGGCTCCCTCGGCCCCTCGGCCTCACAGGCCCATCGGGCTTAGGGATGCAGATGCCACCTCGTTCCCGGCCCCGGTGTCTGTCCTTGGCACCACGGGGACGCTTGTCTGTCCTCACTGGCGAGCGGCCAACACGCTGCCGCCCTGAGGGGCACACTCGGGGTGGGACCCCACTGGGAGCCCCACGGGGGAGCGGGCGCCGGCGGCCCGGGTCTCTGTCCGGCCCCGGGAGCGGCAGCACCTTGTGCTGTGGCCCAGCGTCACCACGACCAGGCGCGCCACCGCCTCTGCTCCCGCCAGTCCTGAATGGGGCGGTGGCAGGGCTGCCGTGTCTTCCAGGTTGTGTACAAGGAAGCCGAGAAGACCCCGCGGCTGACGCTGGGCCGCCTGGCCTTCCCCCCGCCCAGAGCCGCGGCCGGCGCGGCCTCCCCCGCGGAGACCAAGTGTGAGCAGCGGGGGAGGGGGTGCCCCCTCCTTTCCCTTCCTCACAACCCGGCCCGCACCCTTCCCCCCAGGGACCGCTAGATGGGGGGGTGGGGGGGAGTTCCGACCGCGTCCAGGCGCGGGAAATGCACATGGGACAGCGGTGCTCTGTGGGCGGCTCTTTAAAGAGCAGGAAGATGCCCGTGGAGGAGCCGGTGGGGGTGCTGCGGAGCTGGCTGCGGGTCCTGGGCAGGGGGCCTGCGCCTCAGTCCCGGCATTGGTGCGGGCGGGGGCAGCCCCGCTCAGTAAGCACCCGGATGGGGACCCGGACCTGGACGGCACGCCGCTCACCTGGCCTCCCGCGTCACCTCACCACCTTTCGCTGTGGGGTTTGTAACGGGGTTTCTTAAGACCTTTTTTAGAGCAGCTTAGGGGTGCAGGAAAACCGAGGGGAAGGCACAGAGTTGCCGCGCGCCACTGCCTGCTCGCATGGCCTGTGCCTTCCGCAGACCCCGCCACGGGGGCACTTGGCGCTGACCCGCACCGCGGGCTCCTGGCACCATTCCCAGGTCCCCTTAAACCTCTATTTCCATAGAACGTTGCCTCATGGGTTAACGCGAAGACCCCTTTTCTTAACGTCTGAACTGAGTGGCCGAGGTCAGCACCTCTTGTCCCCAGTAGAGCAGGGTGGTGGCCACGGTGGCGCCAGGGCCGTGCCAAGAGGCTGCAGTGCGCGTCCCCCTTTCCACCTTCTAGATGAGATTGCCTCCGTGCCAGTCTCGCTACAGACCCTGAAGCCTGTTGCCGACAGAGCGAACCCGAAAATCGGCATCGGAGCGATGGCCTTCAGCCCGGACAGCTACTTCCTGGCGACGAGGAACGGTCAGTGGCCACACTCCTAGGCCGCGCCCTCCCATGCCCTCTGGCTGCTTCCTTCGGTGCCCAGGCACAAAGGCCGTGTCCGTCTGCTGGGACACTGTGCCTCAGCGCCTCTGCCCGCTGCTGCCTTGCTGTTCGGTGCAGAGCAGGGTGCAGGCGCCACCACAGCCCTGGGCCTGTTTCACGCAGGAAGGCGGCTTACGTTTTTAAGGGCTGTAAAATCCGCCAGACGTGCCCTCGTGGGCTCTGAGCCTGGGGAAGGGCGGGGGGGAGGTGGGGGGCGTCCAGCTCGTAGACCCTGGAGCAGCAGTGTCCGCAGGCCGTGGGCTGCCCCTCAGTGTGCGTCCACGCCTCCGCACCTCAGACAGTGTCCCGAACGCCGTCTGGATCTGGGACGTGCAGAAGCTGAGGCCCTTCGTGGTGCTGGAGCAGCTGTCCCCTGTGCGCTCCTTCCAGTGGGACCCGCAGCAGCCCCGGCTGGCCATCTGCACGGGAGGCGGCAGGCTGTACCTGTGGTCGCCGGCGGGCTGCGCGGCGGTGCAGGTGCCCGGGGAAGGTGAGCACGGGGGGGGGGGGGGGGGGGGGGGGGGGGGGGGGGGGGGGGGGGGGCCGCATGGGGGCGCCAGCGACCTGCCGCGGGCACGACCTTGCAGACAAGCCCCTCCCAGCCGACCCGGACACGGCGGCTCGCAGGGGCTACCGCCTCGGGCCTACAGTCGGTCACTCTTGGCACAGCCAGGGACACCGCAGGCCAGTCCCCAGCGTCACACCCAGGGGGAGTCCCGCTCTGAGCTCTCAGGACACAGAGATGCCTGCCTGAGTGCAGCTTGGGGGTGCAGCTGGGTCTCTCCCGGCCTGGCCTGTAGTTACAGGGCCTGGGGCCGTGCTCACCCCGGGACCCTCTGGCTACCTGTCTTTCTCCAGGTGACTTTCAGGTGCTGTCTCTGTGTTGGCATTTAAGCGGGGACTCACTGGCCCTGCTCAGTAAGGACCACTTCTGCCTGTGTTTCCTGGAAACCGAGGACAGGGATGGCATGGCCTTTGGACGGCCAGGTGACCACACGTAGGGCGGGCGAGTGACCAGGCCCGGGTGAGACACGGGGCGCCGTGGCACGTGGCAGCTGCAGGGGGTCTCCCACAGCGGCGGCCCAGGCGAAATGACTGACTTGTATTTTTGTACAGCTCTTTTGTAAATATGTATGGTATGAAACTAGTTTTTATTTAAAATAAATATTTGCTGATTCATAAAACGGCTGATGCTTGTTTTTGTGAAAGGGTTAAGTCATGGGAAGGTTTTCTGGTTTGTTTCAGGTTTTGGGTTCACGGTCGCATGGAAAGTCACTGACCCCAGGCAGCTAAGTCCCCATCAGACAGACATCCTGCTGTGCTCTGGCGCCTCCGCCCCCGGTCTGCTTCGGGAGAGTAGGCTTGGTTTCACAGGGGCACGTGCGTGCGTGCTGGAGCACAGGGACGGGAGGGGACGGCTCCACAGCGAGTCCGTCCACCTCTGCGTGCAGGTGCTTCTGACGGAGGGAGCAGGGTTCTTTCCGAGCCTCGGCTCGTCGTCTCAGAGGCTAGAGTCCGCACCCCACCCTGGGCTTCTCCGTGAGCGACCTATCAGGACCACAGTCCCCTTGCACCAGCGTTCCTGCGCACAGCACGGTGCCAGGGTCACAAAGCTGGCACCGGAGGCGGGTCCAGCTTCAACGTACGCTCACTACAAGGTGACTCTCTTGGTTGGGAGTTTTAATAATGATTTCAAAGAAGGAACAATGTAATGTCCACTCGATTGTAAATGTCTTTACTCTAAGACCAAAAGCAATGGCTCAGGACCCTGGTGGTCAGGAGGCAGCCTCCATACGGGTCTCACGTGCGTGGCCACAGCGACACCAGAGGCGTCTGTGAGGACCGGTGAGCCGGCCCGCAATGTCGCGAACAAGCCAGCAAGCTGAGGATGAGGGGGTGCGTGAGCAGGGGCCGCGGTTCGCACGTGGACACGCTCCGCGGGCCAGGCTCAGGCGCGTTCAGGGCGACACCAGGAAGCCCGGTACTTGCACGGGCGCCACGGTAACCACGCTGGGTGTCAGCAGTGTGTGGGAATCGAACACGGTTCCTGTTTAAAAGGCTGAGACTCGGGAAGCAGCCTGAGCAAGCCCCAGCTCAACTGAGAGCACGAGGCACAGTCAAGTACGTGTAGTTGTCCAAGAACTGCCAAAGTGAGTCTCCTATTAATGAACTGCCTAGAAATAATTTCCTGCGAACTCTGGGGCCTGGGAAAGATGCCATAAATCTGGACACAATATAACTTAAAAAAAGCATGACTTTAGGTCAAAGACGTGTTTGCACAAAAGCAACTGTTCGTTTGGGAGCCGCCAAGGCAGCATCTCCCGTTCACTTCCCCAGTCGGCAGCCTGGTTTGCACTCAGCTCTGAAAAGATGGATCACATTTCAACATACAAAATTTGACACCAAGTATAAACGTATTTGCCGCTCCGGACCCTGGGGTTTGGGGCCTCCCCGGGGGACCCAGCCACGCAGGAGTGCCAGTGGAGGCCCTCGTGGGGCGCACGTTTATTCACATGATGGAAGGCTGCGCTGGGAAGGGCCACGAGAAGCCAAATGGAGACACTCCGGGAGAAACACGGACACCCGTGCTAGAAGACGGAACACCAGCCCCGAGAGGGACCACTGGATTCACCCTGCTTTTGTCTGCACCTTCTGTTACCAGACACCGAAATCCAGTGGAAGCAGAGAATGCATTCGACTATTCTAATCACGCTCAGATGCCTAAAGTTAACGGCCTGACTCTGCCAGCCCAGCGGTGCTGGCCAGAGGTCTGAGGCCCCACGTCCCCAAGTCCACCTGTGGGCGCCACCTAGAAGCCTATTTTGCCTCTGGTCATGGAATAGCCCAGTTTAGCCTCATTGTTAATGAAGGACATGAGTCCCACGTAGGTCTCAATGAGGAGGGGACGATCCAAGACCAGCACGCCGTTGGCTTGTCCTGGCAAAGGATTCTCTTTTTGGGCTTTCTTGACAGCCTGGATTAGCAGAGCTTTGAAACCTTCCAACTGTAAAGACAGAGAAATCACGTTGCCGATCAGTGATCTACACACGGAAGAAAACGCCCCTTTCTGTGGCAGCCCCCGTCCCTGCCCCGGGAGGGGATGCCTTTCCAGCCACGCCCGCGAAGGCCCTCAGCTCAGCGCCTCGCTGCGGCTCTGGGAACGTCAGGCCCTAGCCCTGTGCTCACTGGGACAGGTGACAGGCCTCACAGAGCACTCCTGTTGTGAGGACCTACTCAGCCCTCACCGCCACCCGCCAGACTGGTAAGCAAGCCAAGTGCACAACTGGCAAGGGGGCCCAGCTCTGCCCTCCCCAGTGGCCCCAGGGCCACTTCTGCTGGTGGTACGCAGACTGCTGGCCCAGCACAGACTGCCCCGGGCCCTTCTCCAAGGTGACCGTGCCCACAAGGGGCGACATTATACAGCTACCCTGACCAGAGCCACTGACCACAAAGGGCCATTTAAACATAAGTTAACTAAGATCTTTAAAACTTAAAAGTCTGTTTTCTCGGTTTCACTAGAACACGGGACACTTCAGGAGCTCGACAGCCAGGCACGGTGAGCAGGGCAGGCCCCGAGTGTCGCCATCACGACTCAGACGGCGCTGCCCCGACGGCCCCACCTGGCACAGAGCTGCCGTCTTCTCGTCCGCACCGGCCATGGGGTGCTCTGTGAACGTGGCATAGGGCATGCTGGTGGACCATGGGTTCCACCTGTTCATGAAGGAAGGGCGGCTCTGTCTGTCCCACTGAATGCGGATCCCAAAACCTTCTCGCCTGCAAAGAAAGGAAAACGTCACACCGCACGGCAGACCACGGCGCTCCTGGGCAGTCTGGGCTGTATGGGGTGTGACGTTGGGAAGCTGCTCTGGGGCCCCGGACGGGACCTGCATCACTCAGTGCCAGGGGGCTCTAGTCCCCATGCACTAAGCACTTTGAATACTACGAACTGAGTCCGTTGTTTTCGTTTACGGCCAACACACTTCACAGCATTAGTGGAGTTCAACAGTGACGGGAAGACGCTACGGGTGGGCTGACCACGTGAACCGCAGGTCTGTGACCTTAGGCCCTTTGTCCAGAGGGCCTCACGGCCAGTCAGCGGTCTTGACTGGGCACAGCTCCAACCCCTGAACACTTCCCTGCAGCAAAGCTCTACCTTGTACTAAAGTCCAGGCTTCTTGGATTTCAGGGTACTCCTTTCTGAAAATGGGCCATTTAATGTTTTCAACTTTTAGTAACATCGGTAAATAAAAGCAATTCTTTTTTTCTGTTAAAATTTACCCAGGGAAGAGCTTGATGTGACGGGCAGAGGTGACACGCCGAGCTTGGCTTCAACAGACCTCAAGTTCATTTTGCTACCAGCCTAAAAGTGGTCTTCTGTGCCAGAATTCCTTTTAATGCACCTGCTGCCCAGAAGCACTTGCTTCTATTCTAAGAAACTATTGATTTAAAGCTGAGGCTTTGAGTTTCTGCAGAACGGCAGACCCAGGACCGCCAGGGGGCTGGTTTGGGAAGGACCGACTACAGGCCCTGACACTGGGCTCTGTGTCCAACAGACGTACTTGTTGAGCGATTTCTGCGGAAACTGGAACTCTCCGCAGGAGATGGTGTCCACCGCGTTCAAGGAGACCCTGATCACCTGCTGGCACTGAAGGTTGATGAAGTCGTACTTGCAGATGAGCAGCGCCTGGTCTGTGATGAGCACCAGCCGCTCCTTCTCGTTGTTCCAGTGATCAATCCTGTCCGCAGACGACAAGAGTCACCGGGCGCCGCCCCGCGCACAGGCCACCCGGCCGGTCCCCGCGCCCCGAGCGCCCCGCTCACTCGGTCAGCAGCCACACGCCCTGGATGTCGCCGTCCTCTACCGGCCGGACCACCACGCTGATCTCCTCCACCGCCTGCTCGATGGTGCCAGGCTGCGTGGGCAGAGGACGGGGGTTAACTCTCCACCCCGCCCGGCCGCCCCGGCCCCCCGCCCCGGCCCGTCCCAGCACCCCCGCCCCGGGCCCCCGCCCGCCTCACCCGGAACACGAAGTACTCCTTGACGCGGGCGCGGCGCGTGGGGTCGTGGATGCTGAGCGGAAACAGCGTCTGGCGCAGCGGAGTGCCCACCCCCGGCCGCCCCCCGCCCGCGCCGCCGCCGCCCGCCCCGACCTCCTCGCCGGCCGCCAGCAGCGCCGTGGGGCTCGTGCCAGCCGAGTCCACCGAGTCCCGCAGCTGCAGCATGGCCGCGCCCGCCGCCGCCCCAGACCCCGACCCCGGACCCAGACTCGACGAGGCCGCCGTCTCAGCCTCCGTCTCAGTCGCCGTAGCTCCGCCCCGAGGGTCGGTGCGATTGGCTCGGCCTCGCCAGCCCCGCCCAAGGCTCCTCCCCCTGCCCGCGCCCAGCGGCCCTGGCGATTGGCTCTCCCCCAGCCGTCTTCCGCGATTGGCCCTTCCCGCCGCCCGTTCACAATCGCTCCCGCCCCCCGCCATGCCGGAAGCGGACTCTGCGCGCACTCCCATTTCCTCCGTACGCGGCGCGGAGCGGGGGGGGCGGGGGCCGAGGCTGGTTGCCAAGGAGACTCAGAGGGTGCTTCTGGAGTCGCGGGCCGGATTCGCGTAACGGGGGTGACCGGCCCTGGGTCTCTGCCCCAACCTGGGCGCGCCCATAGTCCGTGGTCTCAGACCCCGCGGTCACCGCCCTTCCCCACTCCGGACGCGTCCTCCGCCCGCGGTCACCGCACCCCCCACCCCGCGGTCACCGCCCGACACCCCCGGACGCGCCCCCGGCCCGCGGCCACTTCCTCCGGACCCGTTCCCACCTCCGCGGTCTTCGTACTCCCCCGCCCCGACGCGCCCCCTGCCCGCGGTCTCCGACCCCGGACCAGTCTTCCCCCCCTGCAACCCACGGTCACCGTCCCCCCCCTTCTCCCCGACGCGCGACACCCCCTCCCCCCGCCAGCGGTCTCTGACTGCGGACCCGTTTCCCTCCTCGCCCCTACGGTTACCGCCCCCCTTCCCGCATGCGCCCCGCTGCTCGTGATCACAGTCCCAGGACCGTCCTCCCCCTGACCCCTGGGGTCACCGCTCCCCCTCCGGGTCACCTCCCTTCCCCCCGGGACGAGCCCCACCCCCTTGATCACCGTCTCACCTCACCACACCCCCACCCGCAGTCACCTTCCCCCCCCCACGTTTCCCGACCTGTCTCACCCCTGCGGTCTCCCCGCCTCCATGAGCGACCCCCCGCCCCACCGGTGATCCCGGTCTTACTGTGCTGGGAAGCGCCCGGGCCTGGTGCCAGGAAGGGCCAGGGGCTCTAGAAGCCCTGTCCACAAAGGCGGAGGAGGCATGGGCTTCCTGGAGGAGCGCAAGCCTTTCCTGAGAGCAATTCACTCGCGGGTGGAGATGGAGCCGACGCCCAGGGCACAGCGTCCTCACTGAGCCTAGGAAGCAGCGCCCCTCTAATCCCTGTTCCACAGGAAGGGACACTGAGGCACAGAGCCAGCCACTTACCACAGCCACTCGTCAGAGATCCATTACAGGTCCCAGCCCTTGTCCTCTGGCCCCTAGAGTCACAACTTCTACCTGTGTGTGGCCGCTTTGCCCAGAGCTGGTGCCACCGAGGCGTCTGCCCTCCCTGTCGGGGGCCTCAGCTCACGGTCTTTGCCCCACGGGCCCCAGGACTTCCTCCCCGCCCTCCATACAGGAGCCCAAGGGCTGTGCATCCCCGACAGTTTACAGCCCCTTCCAAACCCTCACCTAGCTGGTCGCTAGGGACTTCACTGCCTCCGCTCATGCCACCCTCTTACCCTCCCACTCTCCCAGCCCCAAAGCCTTGCCTCACCCCTACTGGGTCCCCCCTCCCTAGGAGACGTTGCTACTTTGTGCTCCTTCATCTGTGTGTCCGCCCGCGTGCGCCCCTTGCAGTGAGGAGAGTTCAGTGGAACCAGCCCTTTGCATACGGTTGCGCTTTGGGGTTTACAGCCGGTTTCATAGCTCTTCAGATTTCACCGGAGCCCAGGGCTGGCCGCACGCTACAGGTGCAGAAGCAGGTCCCAGGGGTTCTGGGGAGTCCCAGAGGCTGGCGCAGCTCCGCCCGTGAGCTAAGTCCCTGTGCAGACGTGGATGTCCTCACGGCTTGTCCACAGTTCAAGGATGGCCCCACCTCCTGTCCCCCAGGACCTCCCTCAAGGGAGGGTGCCGCACAGAGGGCCCCCAGCACCACCGACTGCTCCTCTTGGATGTCAATGTTGACAAGCTGGTGGCACGAGATGCCGTAGACAGTTACCCGCGGGAGAGTCTGCTTTGTGTGAATGGAGGGCCTCCGTGCTTGGGTTCCGTGCAAAAGATTTAGGTGAGGACCTGACTCAAATACAGACAGCCAGAAGGAAGGTAGCAAGCACAAGGACACTAGTCTCAGGGTGGAGGGGGGGCGGGGGGGGAGCAGGCCGGCCCAGAGGGGCCGGGGATACCTACCTAACCAGGTTCAGGGCTGTCTTTTTGTTGTTTTTCTTAATGGTTGCATAGGTGATGGGTCATAGCCAGGGTGGTCTTCCACTGAGGTTGCTTCCTGTCAGCTGGTAAGGGGAGTGTCTGGCCCACCTAGGTCCTGGCTGGAGCAGTCAGGCCGGCTTCCCCCGTGGGGTGTGATGGGGGCGGGGCGGGGTCCAGACTGCAATGTAAATATATCGTTATGAAGCTGAGGGTTAGACTAGGCTGGTAAGCAGGGCGCATGCTCTGCATCTGCTCTTCTCCCGCGGCTCGCCAGCCCCCTCCCCAACCCCCCCGCCGAGATTGGAAACCACAAAATCACTTTTACCACCACTTGCCCCCAGCTCCTCTCTAGCTAACTTCTGACTCTATCAATACTGGAACCGTTTTGGTACTTAGCTTCCCGGAAAAAGACGGAGATCTCAAAGAGTGCTAAGCCAGTGCGCAAATGTGGGGACAGCAAAGTGCTTCTACCCTCTCTGGCCTGCTGAGGTGGGGTGGGGCCAAGGCCGCGGCCTTCCGTGGGCCCCCCAGGCCGGTGACGCCCTCTTTGGGCCCTGTCCCCGTGGGGGGGTGCGGGGAGCCCCTTTGCTTTGGCAACCACAGGCGGCGCTGAGTCTGCTCTGCCCCCGTCCCTGTGGGGTGGCCCCTGCGGTGCCTGCTGACCCCTCTCTTGGGTCTGTTGCCACCCAGGGGAGCTGGAGCAGAGCAGGGACCCATCAAGGGTGGTAGCTGGCGTGTGGGCCGGAGCCCTGCTGTCTGGGCCTGGCCCGCGTTAAAGCCATGGCCGTGTCAACTATTATTCCCGTTTACGCCGGTTCTAAGTGCCGGCTGTACTGCAAATACTGCCTTTGCTCCCAACAAGCGTTCATGGGGGGCAGTAATACCCCTTCTGCCAAGGAGAGATGGTCACATCCACGAAGCTAAGAGGCCCTGCGCCCGTGGCCCCCGCGAGAGGCAGAGGAGTCGTCCGCGGATGCAGGACGTGTTTGCATTCAGTGGGATAGAACAGACCCACCCCGGCCCTCCCAGCCGTGACAGGGACCTGGAGGGTCGCCGCACCGGGGACCGCAGTCCAGGGGGAGGCTGCAGGCGGCAGGTGCCGTGGAGGACTTCCCCGGAGGCGGCAGGGGTGTTGGGGTGGCGGGCCAGCGCCTGAGGGTCCAGCCTGCTCGGGGTCTGAGTCCTGGCTCGTCCATACACAGCTGTGAGCCGATTAAACTTCCTGCTTCCCCTTCTCGCCCGGAAAGCAGGGATGATAAACCCTAGCTCCCCAGTTGTCATGCGGCGTAAATGAGCTGGTTTGTGCAGAGAGGACCGGCCGGAACCAGCTCTCCATCAGCGTCCGTGGCCCTGACAGCCCAGCCCTTGGAGACGTGGGGGGAGCACCGTGCAGTGCGGATGAAGATGCAGGAGGCCGAGGGCCCGGTTCGTGGACCCCGGTCCCAGTGCAGGCTGATGGGACCAGAGCCTAGGGCCTGGCCGTGGGGTTAGCTTAGGACACTCTCTGCTCAGGGACGAGGTGGAGGGAAGCGAGTCTCGGTGTGGACAGGGGAGGGGGGGATGTGACAGGACGGGCATTGAGAATTCTGGGGACACGCGTTTGGTCCAGTGGGGGGCAAGCAGGGAGGTTGGGTAAAGGTGGTGGGTTTACACCACCCAGCGATGAGCAAGGGAGCAGATCGGGTGCCGGCAGGAGGGTGACCTCAGGGTTTACACTGCACCTTCCACACAGCAGCCCCTGGGAGGGGGAGAGACCAGTGGCTGGACTGGACTAGATGGGGGGGGCGGGGGCGGGGGGGGCGGTGCTGGGCAGCCGAGGTCCAGCACGACGAAGAGGGGGAGGGCAGATGCTCCGAGAGAATATTTGCCGAGGACCAGGGGTCAGGCGTCCACCCCACGTGTGAGCTGACAGGCTAGGCTGCCGGCATGCAGGGGACCCCTGGGTCACAGCCGGAAGACCATTACAGGAGAAAGCGGCCCGGGCCCGGCAGTCCCGGCGTGTCCCCAGGACGTGGGATGCCGTCTCCTACGTCGTCGGCGTGGTGGCCCTGGGCTCCGGGCTCCCGGTCTGGCTGGAGGCGGCGGATCTGCCAGGATCTGACTGCTAGGAGGGCAGCTGTTGGAGGGCGGCCAGGAGGGGACGTGACCCCGGGTGGACCCTTACGGTGGGCGCCGCACCCCCTCATTCCCACAGCGGGAGCCGTTCCCAGGGACGCAGCCTCGAGGTAGTGAGGTGGACGGCACGGCGACAGAGCCCAGCAGGGCCTCCGTGTAAACTCTGCGTCTCAGGCTTGTGGCGCCGAGGAAGCCCCCTGGCTCACCGGAGCTGCCGCCCACCAGTCTCATCCCCTGCCCTCGGTGACGGTGACGGGCTGGCTTGCTCACCGGCAGCGGGTGAGCCGGGCAGGAGAGGAGGAGCTGGGCGCAGGACGGAGGCATCTCGGGGGAGCCCCAGGCGTGCAGGCAGGGGTGGTCTATCTGTGAGATGCCGGGGCGCAGGTGACATCCGCGGCGGGTCTTGGAGGCTGGAGAAGGTGGGCGACGGGAAGGGGGGGGGGGCGGGGGGCTCCGCTGGGCACCGACGCTGACAGGCTGAGGCTCGGGCTAGAAGGCCGCCCAAGGGGCGCCCGGGGGGCTCAGTCGGTTAAGCGTCCGACTTTCGCTCAGGTCGTGATCTCGCGGTTCGTGGGTTCGAGCCCCGCGTCGGGCTCTGTGCTGACTGCCAGCTCGGAGCCTGGAGCCTGTTTCAGTCTGTGCCTCCCTCTCTCTCTGACCCTCCCCTGCTCACGCTGTCTCTCTCTCTCTCTCCTAGAAATTAAAAAA